TGAGTTGGAGCTGACTCAAGGGCACACAACCACAACACTGCCATATACTGATGAGAATTAAAATTGTAAAACTGTTTGAAGCTGTCAGAGGTGCACTGTCTCCATGAGGCATACCAGCCTTTGAGAAGGATCTGCATTTCCAGGACTTGAACATTTTAACTGAGAAAAACATCCTGGGAAGGGACCATTACTTTTGCTATTTCATATCTCAGACATTACCTGAGATTAAAGGCAGTTTGAGTCAGTTTATGTAAATATATCATGTACGAATGTTGAACTGAACTCTGAAGTTTGTTGTAAAAGCAAGTATAGTTTGGAAGTAAAGCCTCATCTGTGGAAAATTTAGCCTTTCCATTAGCATCTTGTTTGGAAGGCAGTGATGAAGACAAGAAAGCATTAGTTGAAGTGTGTAATGGAACCTCCTTCTAGGTTTCTGTGATATAAGAGGGTTCTCTTGTCTATCCTGTTGGCTTTCATGGTTTATCTTCTTTTTCCTCCACGGTTTATCTTCTTTCTCTTCCTGGGCTTCTTCCCCTCAATTACGTACACTCCCACAGGCATAACTCTACAGACCCACCCGTTGATTTTAGAGCTGTTTCTGACCTCGTAACGGGTGTATTTTTAATGAAAAATTGTTAATGATTAAGCTCTGGTAGTGTAGTGGTTACGAGTCAAGGTCAGCAGTTCAAAACTACCAGCTGTTCCGCGGGAGAAAACTGAGGTTTTCTGCTCCCGTAAAGATTCACAGTCTTGGAAACCCTGTACAGGGTCGCTATGAGTCGGTACCGACTCCACTGCACGTAACAACAACAACAATATAGTGGAAGCAATTAAACTAACACGGGTGGGTTTAAGCACTCCTGTCTAAACTATTGGATAGAAATGGTTGATGGTTTCTACCCTGTCTTTCAGTGTGTGGTGTCTTCCTGAGGAACATTTGACTTTAAAAGGAAAGATGCTGTCTCCAAGTGATAAAAAGCTGGAAAAGCTGGACCCGTTTTATCGACCTTCAGTGTCCAAGCAGAAGACCAGTGCAGAAATCATCAGTGAAGCTCGGAATGCACTAAGAACAGTTAGAACTCAAAGGCCATTTACACCCCACGAAGACCAAAGAAAGCTGTTTGGGCCTGCATCTTCAAGGACGCCAGAAAATAGACCTTCGTCTTCCTTCAGGTATATAGCGTTTCTGTTGCATGCTCTTTTAGGCATTTAAATAACTAGTGATATTTTTTATACTTCTAGTCGTGGATTCCTGGTGTGGCGCTGCAGGACAGTGCTCTGGACCGCAAGGTCGACAGTTCAAAACCACCAGCCACTCCTCAGAAACCCTATACAGGGGTTGCTATGAGTCAGAACTGACTTGACAACACTTAACAACAATAGCAACTAGTTGTGGATAGTTGATTTTTTTTGAAGTTTGACTTCTGCTAATTATGCTCTGTGAGTCCCTGGATGGTACATATAATTAATGTGTTCAGCTGCTAACCTAACTGAAAGATTGGAGATTCTTATCCATCCAGAGGTGCCTCAGAAGAAAAGTCTGGCCATCTACTTCCAAAAAATCAACCCAGAAAAGCCCAATAGAACACAGTGCTTCTCTTGACACATGTGTGGTCACCATGAGTTAGAGTTCACTGGGTGGTAAGCAGTTAATGATGTGCCTTATAGCTACTCAAGAGTACTAAACGTGTAATACAAGATCTTAGGTCCAGGACATTGCTTTGGGTTGAAATGGTTGATTGTTGTTGTTGTTGTTGCTAAGTGCCATGAAGTCAGTGCCGACCTGTAGCAACCCTGTATAGGGTTTCCAAGGAGCGGCTAGTGAGCTGGAATCACTGACCTTGCAGTCCAAGGTGACTTTGCATTCCAGCGCATTAACCCACAGGGATTGCTGGAACAACTAAGAAAAGAAAAAGTCATAACATGTCTTTTTTTTTTTTTAGTTCGGTATTTCTAATCCTCAATGCAATGAAAAGATTTGTACATTTAAGAATTTGCTTCTTTCTCAAGGCTTATTATTTACTGCTTTTTAAATTTTATTATAATGTTTTATTGTGAATTATGTGATAGTTTACATGGGAGAACATTAGTTTTACATTCATTCTGCCGTGGTTACAATCCCCTCCATGTATCATCAACCAACAAAAGGGTATATCCTATAAGCCTGCCCCTCAGTCGTCAGCTCTGGTAGCGTAGTGGTTGCGAATTGGGCTGCGAACCTTAAGGTCAGCGGCTGCTCCGCGGGAGAAAGATCAGGCTTTCTACTCCCGTAAAGATTTACACCCTCAGAAACCCTGACCAGGTTCGCTATGGGTCAGAACTGACTCGACGGCACTTAACAACAACAACAGTCGTCAGCACATAGCCCCTCTCTCTCTCTGTGTCTAAAGTCCCCAGCTGCTCTGTCCCTCCACGTCTCTGCTTCCATCTCAGGCGTCACTGCTTCTCTAGGTAGGGTCCTGTTCTCCATTCTTCTCCCTTGACTGAAAAGTTAATCACTCCCCTCCTTACTATAAAACGTCTACCTGTACATTTCCAACCCTCACAATCAGTCCTGATAACAGTTATTCACTGTTGCATCACAAGAGACCCGTCTGCATTTCATTGCATCAGCTCCGCCTAGACAGATTGGATACTACTCACTGGAGATTCTACCTTCCTCCAGGCCCTCTGGATGCTTTTCTTTATTCTTTATTTTTTGCTAGAGTTAGACTAGAGAGAACAAAAATACTGACTCAGAAACTAATGGATTTTCACTTTGTCTCTTGTTAGCCTCCATGCATCCAGTTTTGAATCACCTGAATCCAGGCCCATCTCTGGCGCACGTCTCAGTCCACTCGAGCTTGTGAGTCCTTTATATTAACAAGGGGGTTGTGAAATGATTGTGGCCCAGCAGACTCGGAATCAGCACTTACTATACTAATAATTTCGTGAGAGTAGATTCTTGTATTCTTTTATAGGTTAGTATCTAATAAAACTCTTCTGTAATTTACTGCTCATTTGATAATTTAAACAAATAGATAATAAGTTGGCAAGCAGAAGGTGTTACACATTTTTGAACACTTGTACACATGCAGGTTATTTTTAACAGTTTTACGTACACATAAATTATACATGCGTGCATATAAACAGTCCACCATTTCTATAGCTGTTTCTGCAACATAGTTTATTATAATAAACTTAAGCAGTTTCCTCTCCTTTTTTCTTCATTCTCTCCTTCCCAGTAGCTCTCTCTTTAACTTTGGTACGTTTTTTTCAGTATATACATGCAAACTTCTAAAAAGCACATTGTCTTGCTGCTCCCTGACTTATGAGCTTAAGAACTTCTGTAGTGTGACTCCCACTAAGGAAGCTGAGACTTCAGCTCCTTTCTAACCTCATATCTCCACCACACATTCACCCTTTCCCTCCCTTGGCTGCTGCTCCCTATTCAGAGGTATTGTCATTTTGGTCGGATCTGTTTTCTCTAACTATGATGCTATAAACCCTGCTCCCAGCTGAGTCTTGAATTAATGACTGATTATGATTACTTTTCCTTCTCTGCACCTCTTTTTTGTTTTCCCTGGCAGCCTTAATAATAGCCTTGCTTTTTTAAAGTTTTCGTAATTTATGTATTGCCCCTGGCTTCTTCTACCTATGGCCCATTTATTTTGGTATGCTCTGCTGAGTTCATCTTCTCTGCCCCACCTGATCTTCTCTGGGGTGCCCCCTCACCATCACCCCAGTTCCAGTTTCCTCTATCCCATGTCCTCCTGTTTCTTGATTTACTCTGGTTTTGATGGAGAACTTCCTCCAATAGCTTCTTTTATGCTTGTGTATGTGATTTTGAAAATAATAATTAATTTGTTGTTGTTGTTGAAAATATATATAGCAAAACATACACTAATTCAACAATTTCCACACATACACTTCAGTGACTTTGATTACATTATTTAAATTGTACAATTGTTTTCCCTTTCCTTTCCTAAATGATTCCTCCATCATTAACATAAACTCACTGTCCCCCAAGCTTCATAGCTAACCTTTCGGATTGCTGTTGTCAATTTGATTCCATATAGATAGGTGATGAAAAGAGCACACTGTTCAAGGCAGATGTTCTTTATTAATTAAGCTAACTATTGTTTGGTTTAAAGGAGACTTCAGGGAATATTTTTGGTTTGCAATTTAAAAACTATCTGAGGTCTCTAATGCCTTCTTGAGAAAGGTGCATCAGAAGTAAATTATTTGAGACCTTGATTCCTACTTTACTTCCTAGAAGTCTGTAACATTTTCCTCTTTTGTTTCCCATACTTTGAAATTTTCTGGGCATTTATTTAGGTCTATTTTGGGAGAAAGATGAGGCTTTCTGCTCCCGTAAAGATTTACAGCCTCGGGAACCCTGTTAGAGGGTTGCTGAGTCGGAACCGACTCCACGGCACTTAACAACAACATTTTCATGTGTCTTGCTGGGTACCTGAAGGGCTTTTTCATTGTAGAATCTCATGCCTGAGAAATGTCCTTGAATTGTTTTTATGACGTCTTCCCTTCTCTTTTGTTCTGTTTGGTCTTTCTGGAATTTATTAGTCAGGTATAGGGTCTCCTGGACCAGAACTTCAAATTTTTTTCTTTTTCTTTTTTTGTTCATTCTTGGAAGAGATGCTATTTCAGTTTTTCATGTCTGCTATCCTATTTTTGGAGTCTTGGTGCGCCAGACTGCAAAGCCGTTTGAACTGCAAGGTTGGCGGTTCAAGCTTACCAGCTACTCCTTGGGAACCTTATACAGGGTCACTATGGGTTGGAATCGACTCAACGGCAATTAACAGCAAATCCTATTTTTATTAATTTCCAAAAGCTCTTATTTTTTTCTTGAAATTATTTTTATTTTATAGTTCCCTGTTTTTATTTTATCATTGCAGCATCATATTTGATTATACTAATGAAAGTGTTGATTTTTTCAATTAAATTTTCTTCTCTCTTTATAGTCCTTGTTGCATTTTCATGTTTCTTTTGGTGTGTGTTGTACACATTAGATGCTCTCCTTTGGTGCCTTAGGTTCCTTGTTAAGCTGCTGTTATTGAAGAGTGGGGAGTACATTGCTGGCGTTGGTCATCCCATAGATAATAATGCACCCGCACTTATGTTTAGGGGGATCTACTAAACTGTGTTATTGGTAAAACCCTTGATAGTAGTAGCTTTAGGGTTTGCTTCTGCAGCTAGTCAGAGTCCCTATAAAGTATTTCCCAAGCTCTTGCCTGGAGGATAAAAGCTGGTTGTTGGCTCCCAGGAGGCAGGTGGAAGAAGAACGTAGGAGTGCTTAGTATTTGGTACATAAATTTTAAATTTAGATCTATATTTACCATAAGATACCCTCATCTTCAACTTTCCAGTTCAACCACTCTCTGTTTTACCCTTTGTAGAAAATAAAGCTCCTGTCTTCTCTTGGGGTCGTATCCTAATTGCATGGAGCTGGGATGGAAGCTAGTACTTCATAGGCAGACTTCAGCCAACCTCCTTGTTTTATCCATTCCTCTCCTTATGCCCCAGTTTCCAGAAGTACCTTGTGATATGAGTTCTTTAGGTTTTTGAGAAATTACGGTGTCCATCAAACTGCTTCTCAGTTTTTATTGCAGTAAGTGTGTGTGTGTGTGTAGATTTGACAAACTGTTTGCAAGTGGGTTGGAGATAGACATTATGAGATTTCATCCATAAAAACTGAGGCATGCTTCTCATAGGAATAAGGATACTCTTTTACATACCCACAATGTTACTATTACAGCTAAGAAAATTGACATTAACTCAGTAATATCACTTAATGTGTAGTTCTTATCCAAATGACACCAGCTGTCCCAAAATGTATCTTGTATTTTTATTTTTAAAGCACTTTATCAGTAGAAATCTGTGAGGAAAATTTTAGAGTTGTCCTTATATAGGTGGCTGTGTGCTGTGGAGTCGATTCCGACTTATAGCGACCCTCTACAGGGTTTCTGAGGTTGTAAATCTTTACAGGAGCAGAACGGAACAGCTGGTAGTTTCGAACTGCTGACCTTGCGGTTCGCAGCCCGATTCGTAATCACTACGCTACCAGAGCTCCTTGTCCTTATATTACAGATGACAAAAAACAAAATCCCCAAATACTAATGAATTAGCTGTCTGTGAACTGATAGACAGTAAATAATTTGCCAGCAATTGTTGACACCTGGCCTCTTGTGCTTACAACTTTGGAACCACTTGAGGTAGACCCAGCTACGGTGTGAGGGCCTGGGCTTAGCAGCACATTGGACCCCCTTTGTTGTAGATTGGCTCTTTTTCCTATGATTCTATGATTTGACACCTACAAATTGTTTTTAGTACTGCTGTAAGTTTATTGGACTCACTTAATTTTGGCCTACTCTTTGTCAAAAATCTTTATTTCTGAAATAACTTGATTCTTGCCAAACCGGTGAAGTGTTTGGACTGCAGGATTAGGTAGTAGGCTAAGATAATATTGGCATTTGTTTTTTGGGAGTCCTTGGGTGGTGGAGACAATCAAGTCCTCTGCTATTAATCAAAAGTTGGTGCTTCAAACCAACTGTAAAATTGGAATTGAGAGAAGTTCCTTAAAAACCTTACCAAAGACCTGGGGACTCTTGGGCCCAGAGTCAGTGACATAGCCACAGAGGACTAGAGTGCAGAGTGAAGCGTCCAGCTGATAAGAAGAGAGGGCATATGCACAAGAACACCCACACTTGCAGATAATTCCCCACTTGACCTGGCTTCAATGACTGGATGATCAGAGCTCAACTAGGAGAAGAAAGAAGAGGAAAAAAGAGTAATCGGATACAATTTGATGAACTTGACCTACACCTATGGATGCAATAACTCAAAAGAGGAACAAATCTTTACAGCAAGGATCATTCCCACCCCCTCCATACACAGAGTAGACTGGGATGGGCAACTTGGACATGGCTACCCAAAATGGGAGGCTACAAAGGCAAGAAGTGACTGGCTTACAAGCTTTCAAGAGGGAACCTAGATCCAGAGGGCATGGAGGAAAGTAGACTCTCCATTGAGTCACATCCAATCTGTCCGAGTGGGGCTGATGAAATGAAATCCGAATGGATCTCTTATGATACAATAGTGAATAATTGTTATCAGGACTGATTGTGAGGGTTGTAAATGTCAAGGTAGACATTTTGTAGCAAGGTAGGGGAGTGATTAACTTTGCAGTCCAGGAGCAGAGGTCCTTGGGACCATCAAGGGAGAAGAGCGGAGTGCGAGACCCTACCCATAGAACCAGTGATGCCAGAGATGGAGGCAGAGATGACGACGTGGAGAGATGAAGTGGCTGGGGACTCTAGATCCAGAGGCTGTGTACTGACGACCAAGGGGCAGGCTTGCAAGATATACCCTTTGGTTGGTTGATGATGCATGGAGGGGATTGTAACCATGGCAATGATACATTATATGATAGGATGAATATAAAACTAATGTTCTCCCATGTAAAGTATCACATAATTCACAATAAAACATTAAAAAAAAAAAAAAAAAACCTTGCCAAAATACAGCTCTCCTCACCATGGTCCCCTCACTCAGGAACAGAAATCTGGCTTTTCTATTTCCTAGGAGAAAAGCCGTAGGCTGGAAACCTTGCCCCTAGAAGGGGTCGATCTTACCTGCTAGAATGCAGACCTGCATGACCTCAGCAAATCCTTTAACTCATGGATACCCAGACTCTCAATATTTTATGATTCACAACTAGGACCTCACATCTTCCTCAGCAGACGGTATGATGCCTCCATTTCAGTTTGTTTACTTTATACAATCCTCAGGAGTTCGTTGACTGGGCTGCACGTTCTATATTGTGCCAAGCAAAACCAAAAAAAGCACTGTGACATCAGAACAATGCGTCAGCATCAACGTCATCTTCAACCCTTAAGGACTGGGCTGGCCACAAGGAGCTGATGGACCCACCGCCATGCCAGATGAGAATGTGTTTCCTTTGGGTGCATTTACAAGATACATTTCACCTTCTGCTGAAACTGTGTATGGCAACACATTGTTGTAAATTATTTCATAACAGAGCTGTTCACATTGGGTGGAGAGAGTATTAAATATTTAATATAGGTTTTGATTTATATGTGTAATTTTTAAATTAAAATGTAACTTTCTACACCACATCTTTTTTTGGATGTGGAATTGACTGTTGTAAAAAGTGGATGGAGCAATTGCTTAAAACAAGGCTGAAAAAGTAGACTAGGACAAGATCCTTAAGATGATAATTGAGAAAAATAATATAATACAAATCATAGTGCCATAGATGGTTCTCAATATATAGAGTTATATTTACTGATGTTATCTCTTATAATATAACCCTGTTGTTGAGCTGAGTTCCTTACAAGACTTAATTTTGTATTTTTCCTCTAAGACGATAAATAGGCCATATCAATGAAACTGAAGAAGGATATATTCTACTGGGTATTTTCAAATGTTGGTTTAACGTTGGCAATTGAATGGAAACAAAATCACAAGAAAGAGAAATCAAAGCCTTCCATTGTATATACTGTACAAAGGAAGGCGACATGGGCAATGCTTTCAAATCGAAAGCTTTCTTTGGAATGATCAATGTGGGTGTTTGTAAATTCTGGAAATTTCTTTCTATTCATAATAAACTAGATACCGTTGACCTACTCTTCTCAACAACAACAAAAAAATTGGAATTGATGGTAACTGGTTTGGTTTTCGTCTCTCTTTATGATCATTGGAATTAAATTTGTTTAGTTCCGAATGAATGAATGGGTTCCATGTAAAATTACTCCTTTAGTTTGACTTTGTTGTTGTTATTATAATGGATTATGTAAGTGTCTTAAGCTTATTTCATTTTAAACAGTGATTAAAATTTGAGGCTCCCAGTTCAAAAATTCTGGAAATGGCCCCATAACTGCTGCCCTTCCATCTTCTTTTCTCTTTCCTATTTCACCTTTAATGTCCTCTTTGCCTTACTAAGGCAAAGAGGACTGACACCAGGGGAGATAAAAGCAAACAGCAGTAAAGGGAAAGGGAATGGGAAAAAGAAGAAACTGGAGGAGGGAGAGAGGGAAGAAGAGAAAACGAGAGGGACTGACTCAGAATTGAAGGATATACTTACTAAAGAATTTGTGAAGAAGGCTTAATCAATTGAATTTCAGGAGTTTGGGAATCTAGGACCTTTCCTCAGACTAGCTTGCCTTTTATTCAACCAGCAGTCCCCTAGGGAAAAATGGACCCAGAGAGCTCCTCAGCTAGCACCACCATTCAACAGATTAGCTAAACTCTTTGCTCTTGTACACTTCCTGTCATCTATCTCCATTCCTCCCCTCCCTGTCTGGCCTGTAATTCCTAAAGCAGGAAGTAGGGCGGTCTACACTCCAGAGTGCTCAGGGCTTCTGAGAAGGATGGAAGCTGATACCCTAGTCCACTAGGCTGACCATCTCACTGGGTTCCCACTAACACCTGTAATGGTACAGATGGTAGAAAAGCGATGTGATGTGCACTTTTCATTAGCATTTATTCTGTTTGTATACAGTTATGTCTGGGCACATCTTTCCTGGTCTCTTGTCACCACAGCTTTAAGATCTATTTTTATTTTGTGTGGCACTACAAGGTCAGTGATTGAAACCCACTTGATGCTCCTTGGAAACTTACACTGACTCCATGGCTCTTACCAACTCTGTTTAGCTAGTGTTCCGATTTATACCCACAGGAACTTCTCTCACATTTTGGAGTGTACAAATTAAGAAAGAAGGTGTGACCATGAGAATAAGTAGGATATTTTGCCTTTCATCATTTCATTGTCAATATAGAATTCGCAGTTATTTAATCTCCAAGTATCTAAATAAGCCTTCTAAAAAAAAACCTTTTTATTGTGAATTGAGTGAAGGATTACAGAGCAGACTGTCAGGTTTAAAAACAACAAATCATCTGCTTCCTTTCATCTCAGTGATTGTAATCCCCTCGATGTAAAATCACTTATCCCATGTCCTCCCTGTGTTTCTTGTGCCCTTTCCATCTTCTTCTCCAGTCCTTCTGAATTTTGTCCTTAGATAAATGCTGTCCTTTTGATCTTGAATGGTTGACCATGGTGTGCATACCTCGCTAGTGTTGTTGTCCCTCCTATCTGCCTATCTATTGCTTGGCTGAAAATTGAGCACAGGGTTTAATAAACTTCTTATTGACATAGTGAAGCAACTCAAGTTGCTTAATAAATTCACACAAACTAAATTAGCATTCAAAAAAATTTTAGCGATCACTACCAGCACCCCATATGAAGAAAAACATGACATCAGGATTGGAGGAAGACTCATTAACAACCTGCGATATGCAGATGATACAACCTTGCTTGCTGAAAGCAAAGAAGACTTAAAACATTTACTGAAGAAGATCAAAGAGCACAGCCTTCAGTATGGATTGCATCTCAATGTAAAGAAAACAAAAATCCTCACCACTGGACCAATAAACAACATTCTTATCAACGGAGAAAAGATTGAAGTTGTCCAGGACTTCATTCTTCTTGGATCAACTATCAACACTCATGGAAGCAGCAGTCAAGGAATCAAATGACATATTGCATTAGGCAAATCTGCTGTACAAGATCTTTTTAAAGTGTTGAAGAGCAAAGATGTCAGCTTGAGGACTAAGGTGTGCCTGACCCAAGCCATGGTATTTTCAATAACCTCATATGCATGTGAAAGCTGGACAGTGAATAAGGAAGACCATAGAAGAATTGATGCATTTGAATTATAGTGTTGGATGAGAATATTAAATGTCAAAAGAATAAATAGATCTGTGTTGGAAGAAGTGCAGCCAGAGTGCTCCTTAGAGGCCAGGATGGCCAAACTCCGTCTCTTATACTTAGGACATATTGCCAGGAGGGACCACTCACTGTTTGGTAAGGTAGAGGGTCAGAGACAAAAGAGGAAGACCCTCAATGAGATGGATTGGCCAAGTGGCAGCATCAGTGGGCTCAAGCGTGGCAACAGTAGTGAGGTTGGCCCAGGATCAGGCAGTGTTTTGTTCTGCTGTGCATAAGGTCTCTATGAGTCGGTACCAACTTGAAGGCACCTAACAACAACAAACCAGCACCCCAGAAGTCATCATCATCTCTCTCTCAGTCTCTGTCCCCCAGGGCTACAATTATCCTCACATCTAACAGCATAGATTACTTTAGGCTGTTTTTAATATTTTATGTGAACCAAGCCCCACGTGTTTGAAAAGTGAAACAAAAGTTTACATATTTTTAAAAGAAAGGGACTTAGACACCCACATCTACCTTAGTGATGGGGATAGATCTAGAATAAAAAAAATGTAGAGTAAGAATGTCACAGCAGGCTGTTTTTGTTATTGTTTCTACTCCTATTTCTGAACAAGTAGTACCTGCTGAGTGGCAGAGTTGCCCAGAATACCTGCAGAGAAAATCATAGGAATAGAAATGCACATAGAATTGTCAAATCTCACAGGTTATGTGTTTGTGACATTTTTTAATATTTGCTTTTTGACTTTCTAAGAGAGACCTTTTATTGTGAGGAGTGTGTGGTGTATGTATGTCCCATTGCTTTGTAGATTCATTCACGAACAGCTCTGCTTCTGAGGTGGAATGGCATCAACTCCCCTTTTCAGTCTTCTCATAAGATGGGGGACAGCCTTGACCTTCCCATCTGGTGACCCTAAGGAGGAATATTAGAAAGGTGGTCAAAGACTAGTGTGCTGGCCAGAGTGACAGCCAGCTAGATGCCTCCAATGTCGTATGAATTGCCTCTTCCTTGGCTGGGTTGCTCTATGAAAGACATCTTTCTGTCATCATCAGGTTCTTTTAAAGTATTTCCCAAGTGGTTATAGTCAAGTCATTGACTAGTGTCATAAACAAAACATGAGGCAGTTAAGGTTCTCAAAGATTTACATTGCCTGGTAGCACTACTTGTACCTCTAACCAGTGGCCATTCAGTTGATTTCTGACTCATGACTTTCCCATGTGTTTTAGAGGTTTTCAGAAGTAAACCACCAAGCTATTCTTCCAAGATGCCTTTAGGTGGGTAAAGTGTTGGACTGCTGATTGCAAGGTCAGCAGTTCAAGCTCACCAGCCTCTCCACAGGAGAAAGATGAGGCTGTCTTCCTCCTTAAGGATTTACACTCTTGGAAGCCTCAGAAACACTTTGGAGCAGTTCCACTCTGCTCTATGAGTTGCAATCGAGTCAATGCAGTGGACTTGTATAGGTAATATCTATTTAACGGTGTGGGTGAACTTTCCACATACACCCCAACCCCAGTGTTCTAAGCAGAGCCAGAGTATCTGTTCATAATGTTATTTGCAAAAACAGTTAAGTATTATTTATATGCACATTAGGTAAGATAGTCCAATAAGATGGTAGAATCTGGTCAGACTGAAGCTAAGCAAAAAGCCCTTTGTTCTGGAAATGTCAGAACCAGCTCCAGGGTAGTAAGGTCTATTTGAGACCCAGAAACTTGATGCCAATCATTTGAAAAAATCTCTTTCCAGAAACCGAAAGCTCCAACATCTCCTACCACAGAGGAGGAGTCCTGTCTTTCTTTTCCTAAACCCCCAGTGGACCCTGCGAAGATTCGAAGAATAAGCAGTGCCCGAGCGCGCTTGTTCCGAGCGGCCTCACAGGGGACCCTGCTGCCGGACAGAGCCCCTCCACCTGCTGAATGTAAGGACATGGAACATCCTTTCAAACCTGGGGGCACACGTACTTCTTGCATTTGCACACATATGCTAGTTTTACATGATTTTTCCTAATCCCTGGTGATTATTACATTAACTAATACTTAGCATTGTATAAAAACTGCTAAAGAAAGCCTACCCATATATGTTTCTGGATATATATATATCACTATTTTTGTTGTTGTTTCTAAATTGCTTGGAAGGAAAAGAAGAGCAGGATAAGTATTCTTTCTAATGGATAGGTTCACATATATAGGAAATAAATGCTTTTCAAATTAGAGTTCAAAATGTTGTTTATCTCATTCGACATACTTGAGATTTACATGATGTACACTGGGATACTCGAAAATGCTTTTCTGATCCTACGGAAACATGTAAGCAAGCGTTGGATGGGTGGTTGGTGGTTGTGTGCCGTGGAGTCGGTTCCGACTTATAGTGACCTTGCATAGGGTTCCTGAGGCCAGGCTCAGTAGTTCGAATCTTCCTCCCACAAAGCGACTGGTAGATTTGAACTACTGTCCTTGCAGTTAGCAGCTCCACTCATAATACAATATACTGCCAGGGCTCACAATTGCTGGCTGTGGTCTAAACCTGGGAACAGAAAGGCTAAAGGCTCATATATTGGAACTGCCCTTCCCCAGGGCAAACTAGGGCAGAGTTTTCAAACTTCTGGAAATCGTCCACTTGTGGGATGACAATCAATTTAGTTGGTCACAACCATCATTTAAAAAAAATCAAGTAGAATAGACTATAGAGGAAACAGTAGGTATTGCTTTGAGAGACTGTTTCAGTTATGTAAGTGTGTTTTCAGAGTCATATTAAACATTTCCTCCTTTCTTTGTGTACTCACAAAGCTGGAACACCACCTTACCTAAGCTGTCAGAGCTGTCCCTACCTCAGTCAGCAAGGATTGACATTCATAGAGAGAAGGAGATAATCTCAAGATGGGCCCCAAAGGTTATAAGCCACAGTCTGAGGGTCATGCTTGATTGACATGAAATGTTTTTTTCTTAATTTAAAAATTAAAAGATTTCATGGAAGACTCCAGATTCATATGACTAATTGTGAAAAATCAGGCAATGTAGCAACACTGGGTCCCTGTTCCTTGTAGCTGACTAACACCCGCCCCCTCTATCCTGGGATATCTGATCTGTCATTCACCATTGTCTCCCAAGCCCCTTCCACTCATTGTTCTGGTCTGACCCTTATGGGCTTTGGAGTTCGTGATTTCTGATAGAGATGAAGGAGAAAGGAAAAGACAGAAGAGAGCTGCATGATGTGTGCATCACCCTGTCGTTGCCATGTTGTTGTGAAGTGCCATTGAGTTGGTTCCGACTCATAGCCGCCATGTGTAGGGTTTCCAAGGAGCAGCTGCTGAGATCTGTAACTAGGCAGGTTTTTTTTTTTTTTTTTTCTACCTTGCTGGCTCTTTTCTAGCATAGCCAGTCAGATACTTATTGAGTCCCTGTTAAGTGCGAAGCACTATGCTAAGCCAGCCCATGTATGGACAAACAAGACCAAGTCCTGTCCTCAATCTAGTGAGGGGAGATAGATAATATACAGGAAACCAAAAGGCAAAAACAATTAGCATTCTGATGACTGCTATGAAGACGGTAAGCAGAGAAAGGGCTGATGAATGCCTGTGGCTGGGGTAGTTTGCTTCTGCTCAGATGGCCCTGGAAGTGTTGTTGAAGAAGTGATGTTTAAGTTGAAGTGTGAATCATGAGTAGGAAACAGCCATGTAAAAACTGTGGGGGAAGTGCCCCACACAGAAAGAGAAGCAAGTACAAAGGTCTGACATGGTAATAAGCATGCGTGTGGAGGAAATGAAGGTGGTTTAACCAAGGGGAAGATGGAGGGAGCTGATAGGACTTTGTTGTTGTTAGGTGCTGTCTAGTCGGTTCTGACTCGTAGTGACCATTATGCACAAAAGAACGAAACACTGTCTAGTCCAGCACCAACCTCACAATTGTTACGCTGAGCCCATTGCTACTGCAGCCGTACCAATCCTTCTCATTAGGGGTCTTCCTCTTTTTCAGTTACTGTCCCACTTTACCAAGCATCATGTCCTTTCCCAGGGTCTGGGCCCTCCTAATAATATGTCCATATGATGAGAGATGAAGTCTAGCCATCCTGGCTTCAAAGGAGCTTTCTGGCTGTACTTCATCCAACATAGACTTTTTTGTTCTTCTGGAAGTCCATGGTACTTTTGATATTCTTCTCCAACACCATAACTCAAATACATCACTTCTTCGGTCTTCCTTATTCATTGTCCAACGTATTCATGTCCACATGCATATTAAGCTGTTGAAAATATCATGGCTTGAGGTAGGTGCACCTTAGACCTCAAAATAACATCTTTTCTCTTGAACACTTTATTTAAATAGGTATTGTGCAGCAGATTTGCCTAATGCAATACATTGTTTAATTTCTTGACTGCTGCTTCCTGATTACTGATAGTGGATCCAAGCAAAATGATGTCTTTGATAACTTTAATCTTTTCTTCCTTTATCGTGATGTTATTTATTGGCCCAGTGGTAAGGATTTTTGTTTTCTTTACATTGAGGTGCAACACATACTGAAGACTGGTCTTTGATCTTCATCAGTAAGTATTTTAAGTCCTCTTCGCTTTCAGCAAGCAAGGTTATATCATTTGTATAAAACAGGTTGTTAATGAGTCTTCCTCCAATCGTGATGCCATGTTCTTCTTCATATAGTCCAGCTTCTCAGATATTTGCTTGGCATACAGATTGAATAAATATGGTGAAAGAATACAACTCTGGCGCACATATTTCCTGTGTGAATGACTGCCTCTTGGTCTATGTACAGGTTCCTCAAGAACACAACCATTAAGTATTCTGGAATAGTCATTCATTCTCCACAATGTTGTCCATAGCTCATCCTGATCCACGCAGTCGAAAATTTTTACGTAGTTAATAAAGCACAGGTAAACATCTTTCTGGTATTCTCTGCTTTCAGCCCACATCCATCTGATGCCAGCAATGATTTCCTTTGATGCACATCTTCATCTGAAGCCAGCTTGAGCCTCTGACATTTCCCTGTCAGTGTAATGTTGCAAACATTTTTTAATTCTCTTCAGCAAAATTTTACTTTCATGTAATATTAATGATATTGTCTGATAATCTCCACATTCCATTGGATCACCTCACTTTGAAATGGGCACAAACATGGATCTCTTCCAATCAATTGACTAGGTAGTTGGTTTCCAAATTTCCTGACTTACATGAATGAGTGCCTCCAGTGCTACATCTGTTTGTTGAAACATTTCAGTCTGTATTCCATCAATTCCCAGAGCCTTGTTTTTTGCCATTGCCTCAGTGTACATAGGACTTCTTCCTTCCGGACCATTGGTTCTTCATCATACACTATCTATTGAAATGGTTGAACACTGACCATTTCTTTTTGGTACAAGGACTCTGTGTATTCCTTCCATCTTCTTTTGATGCTTTCTGCATCATTCAATGTTGTGTTCATGGAATCCTTCAATATTTCAAGTTGAGGCTTGAATTTTGTCTTCAGTTCTCTCAGTTTAAGAAATGCTTAGTGTGCTTTTTCCTTTTTCTAACTCCAGGGCTTTTCACATTTCATTATAATACTTGATTTTGTCTTCTCGAGCTTCCATTTGAGAATTTCTGTTCAGCTCTTTTTCCTCCTCATTTCTTCCATTTGTTTTAGAATCTCTATGCTGGAGAGCAAATTTCAGAGTCTCTTCTGGCATCTCCCCCCAAAATGCATGTCTTTTCCTTCTTTTTTGTCTTTTTAATGACCTTTTGCTTTCTTCCTATAAGATGTTCTTGATGTCAACCCACAACTCTTTTAGTCTTCAGTCATTAGTGTCTATTGCATCAAATTTGTTCTTCAGATGATCTCTAAATTCAGGTGGGATATGTTTAAGGTCAAATCTTGGCTCTCAATGACTTGCTTTAATTTTGTTTCACTGCAGCCTTTACTTTCCTGAGTTTCAGCAGGGCAGAGATGTTTTCTCTTCAATAGCATTTTTTAACAGGAGCTGCACATTGGAATCACCTGAGGAACTTTTCAAACATTCCACAGCTGGGGTCCCATGTCAGACTAGTGAAATTAGAAGCAAGGTAGTAATGGCAGGAGCAGAGTCCTTGCCAAGGTGAAATGAGATAGGACCTGGAGCCCAAGGGGGCTCGAGTGTAGGCTTAGATAGGAACAGCATCACTCCTTATAAACAGGGATGGCTGAGCTTGTGCAATGGTTACTGAACAGTTGTACATTATATAGTTTTGCTTCTGAGTTGACTGCTACCTGCCCTCTTTATGCATGGTGACTTTGGTAGTTCACATCTGAAAACCTTATTGCTTGCCAAGCCGTTCAGCTTCATGTGAAGATGGCTGAAGAGGGAGATACTTCACCCTCATCCTCACCCTCTGTTCTCTTCCTGATGGCTTTACTTCTATCCACCTGAAGGAGCTCTAGTAGCGTAGTGGTTACAAATCGGGCTGCTAACCTCAAGGTCAGCAGTTCGAAACTACCAGTTGTTCCACGGGAGAAAGATGAGGCTTTCTGCTCCCGTAAAGATTTGCAGCAGCCTTGGAAACCCTGTGCAGGGTCACTATGAGTCGGAACCGATTCCACGGTACTTAACAACAACAACAACCTGAACACCTGGTCCTTGCGTGGCCATAGCACCTCATCCGCACTCTGAGAGATGCTATCTGTGACTGTCATCTCCCAGGACCAAGGCTGGCTTCCCAGTTCCAAGTGTTGCGGAAGCAGTCTGTGGGTTCCTTGCACCCACCCTGTCTGTAGTTGCTTTACTTGCCTATATTTCTCCTCCCTTAGGTCTGTGTAAGCTCTCAATAAATAATGAAGTTACAAAGTCATGGTCACTCTAAAAGCAATTTGAAAACACATTTTAGCTCTCTGGCCTTGCTTGGAGTCATTGTTCTTTGGTCCGGAGCTCCCTGGGTTTCATTTCAGTCACTATTGTTTAGAAAAGGTAGACTTTACTAGGAGGCTGAGGTGGCTGCCAGGAGACAGAAGACTATCCCTCCTTTGGTTGTGAAGTCAGTTATAATCCATACAGCTGTACAGATGGGGCTGTAGGTGTGGTACAAGGCTTGGAATTTCTGGGTTAGGAAAAGAAAAGGGGAAGAGAAGTGTGTAGACATCTGTCATCTCAAGGACCAGAAGCTTAATTGCTTTGTGTTGAAGTAGATTCTGGTTGGAGGTGGCTGTGTTCCTAACACCTCCCCAGTTATTCAAGCCAAGCAGGCTTTGAGGAGCCTCCACCTTCTCACCATTCCCAGCCATCCCTCCCATCACCAGGCTGTCCCTGGTTTCCTAAGTACCTCACGAGTCTGCCTTCATTCTCCTGTCCCTTCAGTGCCACCAGAAAGCCAAACCAGTTGCTTTTCAGTCAATTCTGACTCTTGGCAACACCATGTATGTCAGAGTGGAGCTTTGTTACATAGGGTTTAGAGTGGCTGATGTTCCGAATGGATCACCAGACCTTTTTTTTTAAACTTTTTGTTGTAAATTGTGGAGTCCTAGTGTGATGTGGGATAAAGCCCTGGACTACAAGGTTGGTTTGAACTGCAAGATCAGTGGTTCAAACTCACCAGCTACTCCTTGGGAACCCTATACAGGGTTGCTATGAGTCGGATCCACTTGATGACACTTAACAATTGTGAAATGAGTGAAAGTTTACAGAAAGATATCAGAACCACATTCAACAAATTATTCACTTCATAACCAGACCTTTCTTAAGAGGTGCCTCTGGGTGGGTTAGCGGCTAAGTGTGTCAGTGGTACTACCGGGGACTTACCAGTATTTATCACCTCTTGCTTTGTGCCTAGTCTTCCACGTCTCCAGTCTTGCTCCTTTTAATCTGCCCAGCTCACAGGGGCCAACACAGCGATCCTCAGCAGAGCTTAGAGAAGTCTCTTTGTGTGTATCATAAGGGATGAGAGGCTGGGAAGCAAATCAAAATCATATTGCATCATCCCCTTACTGAAAGCCCTTTAGAGATTCCCCTATGCCCAAAGGAGTATTTGCCAAACTAAATTCTGGGGAATACTTTCAGCAAATAGCTTTTCCTTGGAAGAGTTCAGTGCGCAAATAAATCTAAGGAACATGGCCTACTGCCTCTCCCTGAGACTCACAGTGGCCATATGAAAAGGTCGGTAAAGTGATAAGGTAAACACTGTTCAACTTTGATGGAACCAGCATTTCCTAAGCCTACTTTTTCTGTAAAGGGCCACATAAAAAGACTTCACAATCCATACACTCTCTGTTCCACCTACTTAACTCTGCCATTATACTTGAAATTGAAATTCCATATCATTTCTACATGTCACAAAATGTTATTCTTTGTTTTCCTTTTTAATCCATTAAAACAAACAAACATTCTTAGCTGGTGGACTGTACAGGAGACGGGCTGTATTTGGCTGGTTTGTCATAGGAATTGAAGTAGAAGCTCCTTAGCATGTGGAGCAGTTCTGTAGTCAGTGGCGCCAGCCTGACATTCTAGGTCCTTCTCACTCCTCCTTTCCTTGCTGTGCTCCAGACCCCATTCTACCCACTGTATAGTTCACTGGGCCTGTGCACAATGAAAATGTGGCACAATCAAAATGACTTGATCAAAAATGACTTGATCAAAAATGACTAAGAATTTTAAGATGGCAATAATAGAACATGAAACTAAGTGTAGGTTCTTTTAAGTGTGGGGTTCTAACTACACAGATCACATGCCCATGAAGTCTACTGAGACCACCCTAGGTTAAATTCTGCCTGCCCCCATTCCCTATATATATATAAATAAAAAAATTATTAGCCTGCTACTTCCAAATTCAGGTAGAATATTTCTTATTTCTGGACACAGAAGTATTTCTAATGGCTCAGACAGATCATAAAGTTAGTGTTTCCCTTAGTAGACTCCAAGCTAATAGATACACAACACTATATTTTCCTATTCATTTTTTTTCCTGCTGAGTTGATGGCACGAAGCATAAAATAGTGACAACGTCTTGTTTATGTTCAGAGAGATTTGGGCCATACATTTCCAGACTTGATTATTAGAAAATTAGGAATAATATACAATGTTAAAATCATATAAATTCTTAGATTGAATAAAAAACAAAAAAAGGTGGTGATTACTCAAAAAAAGCTTTGACAAACATTTCTTTGGTTATTACAGCAAAGAAGACAATGAAATCCAAAGAAACAGTTATGATGGGAGACTCTGTGAAAATAAATGGGAATTATTTATCAGCATTGAATGCCTCTGGCTGCATACAGAGTCATCCGCTTCAGTTAACTTATGATAGAGACTTCGAGAAAATCAAGGAGCAAGATATGTTCAAAGGGACAACGTCCTTATCATCTCATCTCAGAAGTGGAGGGTCAGTATTTTTATTTTTAATTTAATTTTCTGGTCAGGATTATCATGTCATTATCAGTTTGTTCTCTATATTATGCAAATGAATGATTTGCTTTTCCCCTTTTATAGAAACAAATTTCAAGTTAATGATACGTGAGTGGGAAAGATGTCCTCTTCTGGTTGAATGGAGATCATTTTGCATCATTCCTTATTTAATCCTCAAGAAAACATCCATTCATACCTGCCAAAACACTGCTTTGGTAGCCCCGTCAGAATAAGGTCTTAGCTATAGTTGGTCTCTTCCGGTCAGCTCTTGAGTGATGTGACGATGGATGGTTCTCTTTGTATGTTACTTGGATTCTTGCCTGACCTGGAATCTCCTGCTACCTCCCTTTGGGTTAGTTTGATTTTGTTAACACCACAAAAGAGTAGCACATACTTTCTTTTATTCTCCAGTAGAAACTTGGATTGAAAGATTTATTTTGCAAATTTGTCGTTAAGGCCATGGGTCTATGGATTATATTACCTTTTAACTATTATACGACTAGGGGGCTTCAAAGAGTTTGGGGGGAAATTTTTTTCCCAAAACTTTTTGAAGTCCTAGCGTATTTCCTCGTAAAATGAATGATTGAGAATTACTTTATTTAACACCATGTTCCTAAATAGTGTTTCTCTGAGAAGCAATTTCCCTCCCATATTAGAGACTTCTGAAGAAATGTCCACTAAGGTGGCCATGTGCATTCTTAGCCTGATGTCTTATAAAGAAGCCTTGAATGATTGGAACAAGGAGTGGGTGGTATAGTGAGAAGAGCAGGCTCTATTCCCCAGTCTCTGCCAGTAATGATCCTAAGATAGGATGAAGGTCTTGACCTAGATAGGGTCACTTAGAACAAAATATTTTTTCTAGAACTTTCCATTTGGTCATTATGGACAACTGCCCAGTATGAGTTTGCTCAACAAGATTAAATTCCTTGGGCTCTTTTAAAACCAAGTATTTGTCACACTTGGTTTAGATTTCGGGCCTGACTTTGCCTGTACACATGTAGTATGCTTCAAACTTTTCCCTGAAGTGACCAGTTGGCAGCTTGTTCGTTTGGCTGAACTGACCTTGTCTGCTGACATAGCCTGAAGAGTGTCACACACACAGAATTTATATTAGGCAACCCAGTAGCCCTTGTAATGTCACTTTGCATTCAGAACATTTTTTTAAATTAAAGGGAAAATGAAATGTCTCTCTAAGTGGAAGACAATGACTTCAAATTGGGACTTAGGGAGTTGAGCACAAAACATCAAACTGGACATGGCAGACAAATTTTTTCCAGTTGGTGAATAAGAATAGGCTGTGGACCTCAGAGTTTACACATAAAGGCAGCAAAACCACTTGCGTTTCTTTCAGAGCTGAAGTAAAAAGGAACCATTTATGCTGTTGCACCCATCCTTACAGTAATTAAAGTTGACTTGGAAAAGCCAGACAAGAGCTATTTTATTTATTTGGGGTGTTTTGTTTTTTGTTTTTTTTTTTCAAACCTTTGAATGTTGCAGACTAGTCTGGCAAGCCAGAGTTCATTATGTCTTTGCCAGTCTGAAACAGCAAAGGCATTTTTGATTCCATATTTTACCCCACAAACAGCAAAGGACAAATCAATTAGGACTGGGAACACTCTTCCTGACTGTCCAAAATGCTGAGGAGTTGGAAGCATCACTGATCGTTTTGTTCTTATTTTGTTAGGATGGCTTTTGTGTCTTTCAATGATTGTGTCTGAGTTGGGGTCGGAATACACCCTGGCAGACTTAACTCTCAAAACATTTTTGCTTTATAAAATTTCAACTCGTGTACCCATTGGATGGAATATTGCCGAAGTGATGCCTCCTTCCCCCCCAAAAAAGTTTATTCAGTAGGATTAAAATAAACTATAAAATGGAAATGACAAGCTGTTCTTTCATTAATTACATTTATAAACCAGTCTGGGACACTTGATAATTGTTTCTTGTAAACATTTAAGTGAATAATTCCAAGAAATAATTTTTACTGTGCTGTGGAGTATTCCCACTGTGGAGGCTGCAGGCCTACCCTCAATTAACATTTTTTCATCTTCTGCCCATTAAGTAGAAAATGAAGACTCTTGTCAGTGAGCCGGGATGTCGGAAAGGAAGGGAAGGGAGGATGACCCCAGAACAAGGAGGGATGAAGTGACAAGAGAATGTGAGAAGGCATGTGTGCAGCTCATGTCAGGGGGATGGACAGAGAAGACCCACTCGCAGCACAGGGTCCTTACATGAGCGTCTAGAAGGGGGATACTCACCCCGTCTGTCACATGCTTGTCTCAGGGGAGGGGTGGCGGAGGGAGGAAAGCCTAGTTTCTTTCAGTGAAACTGCATTAGTACACCCTGAGTTTGAAATGTAGGATCCTGCAGACATGGAACGGATTGGAGGTTACATGTATGTCAGTGGTAACAGAAACAGGATTTGTTTAGCAGAGTTTCAGTGCAAACACGAAAGATCTTAAGGGAATAGCTCGCTTTCCAAAAGAGGCCACTCTCTCAGGCACTTATAGGACCGTCACCTTCATCACGTGCCGGTTAGGGCAGTCTCTGTGGCTCCATTTAAAGATTCAAGGCGCGGCATGGCATCTTCTCCACGGCACTCCATTGTCACTCTGTGTTGCTGTTGGATTGAAAATCAAAGGCTACCATTGTAAAATGCATGTGTTTATCTCCATCTACCTGTTCAGTGGTTTAATCCAAGGAACGCCTTTATGTCTGTTTAAAAACCTTTACAGCATTTTGTATAAATGTTGTTCGCACGGCTGTGATTTGGGAACATGACCATCAGGAGGGAAGGCAGCCAATTAAAGGAAAGCCCAAGAGCAGCCGATAGCTGTGGAGAGTTAGGAATGCTTCATAGGGCCAGAATTGCTGGCTTTGGGGTCAGTGTTCTCTCAGCTGCATGGGCTTTCACAGGTGTCTTAACTCTTACCATGGGCTCAGTTTCTTATTCTGAAAAACGGGGCTAACTATGTCCCTTCACTCCCACCCTCGTCCCCCAATCCGCCACTGTTGGTTGTGAAATGATTATTATAGCTTAAAAGCACATGTAAACTTAGTATTGTTGAAATAAAAAATAAGAAGAGGACTTTGGGTTAAAGATGACAAAGCAAAGACATTCTGCAGAAGCCCAGTGAAAGCCACAAAGAAGGACTAATAGAGAAATAAATCTCATCAATGGAGCAGAAAATTGGATACAACCCCAAACTGCAAAACATGAAACAAACCTGCCATCTGGGCTTTGTTTTTTAAATCTGCCTAGCTTACATTCCTTTAGAAAACAAGTCTCTCATTGTGTAATAAGTTGTGCCCAGTCCACGTTTGGAAGAGGGCTGACCATGCCCAGAGCTGGCTAATTAAAGTTTTCTAGCATACCACTGTTATCAGTTGCTTCAGAGAAGGACACATGATCTGAGCCGGGCCAATTGAATTCTTCCCTGGGACTTCTGTCGTAACCTTTTGGAAAATACTTTTTTCTCTAAGTTCATAAACTGTAAAGATGAAGTGGCCTTGGAGCCAGCAGTGACCATGGTGCTGTCTCACTGCCATGTGGTTAGAGACTGAGTGGGAACTAGTGTCTACACAAGCAGAGCCCAGGAGTGAAGAGAGTGACCAAGTTCCACGAAGCTTCACTGTGCCTGAAGCCACCCCTTCCACCTTATAGATAGACTGCTCTGTTATGTGAACTAGTGGGTTCTTTTTTCATTTTTCTTTCCATTCTTCCTTCTGGTTTTTGTCAGGGGAAGCTTGTGCTACTTTGATTCGGTTTTCTGTTGGTTGGTGTTTTGTTGTTGTTGATTAGGTTTTTAACACTTCGAACGATTGCAACCAAAGGAATCTTAACTGTTAGTTTATGAAATCCAAATGAAAAAAAAAAGGGGGGTATTTAGAATGGACACACATTTCCTCTGGCCCTGAGACAGCTAATGTGTGTTGTGTATGTGAAGGTGGTGGTTGATAGGTAGACAGATTAGACTGGCACTAAAAAAGTGAGAGGGAAATAATGCTCTCGGGTCAAGAAAACGAACAGATTTGATGAGTGGATGTTCAAGAAACGTAACTGAAGTTGAAACTATAAAGCACACCAGTCCTCTCTTTCTATAGATCCTATTCATTATTCAGCAAATAAATGGCTACGTCTAAGGAGCTCTGGTAGCGTACTGGTTACGAATTGGGCTGCTAACTTCACGGTCAGCAGTTCGGAATTACCAGCTATTCCACAGGAGGAAGATGAAGCTTTCTGCTCCCATAAAGATTTACAGCCTCGGAAACCCTATACAGGGGGTTGCTATGAGTTGGAACTTACTCCACAGCCCATATCCACCACTACCAATGATAAATAATGTTAGGAAAAGATCTAGCATGAGACTTGAACATAGATATGTATGAAGAAAATGGGTTACAGAAAAAATGACCCTTCCAAAAGAAAAAAGTAAAGAGTTTAAATAATTTTCCATAGTCTCAAAGAAATTATTGATAACGTGAATCTATTTCATAAAGGTAAAAAGAACTTTGGGCGGTTGCAAAAATTCAAATTAGAAATTATAAACTCACAAAAGGAGATTGAAAGCAAGCTTGCAGTACACAAAAAGGAAATAAAAGAAAAGAGAGGAAAGCTAATTAGATATTTAAAAAATTAGAGTAAAAACAGCTGAAAATGTAATGAGACATGAAGGACAAGCTAGAGAAAATTAGAGAAAAGAAAATATTAAGTATAATGATATAAATTTTAAAAAATGATAGTGATTCATGGAAAACATGAAGTTTGTATTCCTGAAGAGAACCCTTTAATTCCTCTGCTCCCATTCCTTGTACCAGCTTACTTCAGATTGATTAAGTTCCAAGCACTCTTCAAAGGGATTTACATATATTAACTCACTTATGTTGTACAACAGTCCCTTGAAAATAGAAGCAAACAGAATAAATGGAACAAGAAAAAGAATTCAGATATAATAAAAGACAACTATGAACGACAAT